CACGCCTTTAATCCCACACTTAAAGAGGTAGAGGCAGGCAGATCTCTGTGAGTTCGAGGCCAGCCTGATCTACAGGGTGAGTTCCACGACAGGTTCCAAAGCAATACAGAGAAACTCTGTCTGGGGGGGTGGGGGGGATGCCTTCATCAGATTGGCCTGTCTTGGGCATTTTCTTGATTAATGAATGATGTGGGAGGGTCCAGCACACTGTGGGCAGTACTACTCCTAGGCACATGGTCCTGGGTGCTATAAAAAAAGCCGAGCAAGGTAAGGGAAGAAGCCAGTAAGCAGCACTCCTCCATGGTCTCTGTCTCAGCTGCCGCCTCTAAGTCCCTGCTTGAGTTCATCTCCTTCAGTAATGGACTGACTATAACCTATTAGCTAAAATAAACCCTTTCTTCCCCCAAGCTCATCTTGGTCAGTCTTTTAGCACAGCAAGAGGAAAGCAGACTAACACACATACGATAAATGAAAGAGATGGAACCAAAAGAGAAAAGAAAAATCCAAATTAGTAGTATGATAAAATGGGCATAATGTCTCTCACACACACACATACAATGTCCAGAACAGTTACAATCTTAGGATGTATGTTACTAAATGGTTTTTTTGTTTGTTTGTTTGTGGTTTTTTTGGGGGGGGGCTTTTCAAGACAAAGTTTCTCTGTGTAGCCCTGCCTGGCTCCAGACTCAGAGATTCACCTGCCTCTGCCTCCTGAGTGCTGGGATTAAAGGTGTGTGTAACCACTGCCTGGCTGTGAGTGCTTTTTTTGAAAGGCGGAAAGAAAGATGACCTAAGAGATGAATCAGCAGGCAAAGAAACCTGCCCCCCAGCTTGACAACCTGAGTTTGATCTCAGGAACATTTGTAAAGGTAAAAGAGAAGTCACACAACAAAACAAAGCTATCCTCTGACCTCCTTATGTACATATGTACACACGTGTACACATACACACACATACACACACTCACGTGCACATATTTATCCTAGTTTTTGAAGTACTTTAAAAATTCTTTTTGAGGAAATTATCTACTCCTTTTTTTTTTTTTTTTCAAGACTGGGTTTCTCTGTGTAGTTTGGAGCCTATCCTGGCACTCGCTCTGGAGACCAGGCTGGCCTCGAACTCACAGAGATCCGCCTGCCTCTGCCTCTGCCTCCCGAGTGCTGGGATTAAAGGCTTGCGCCACCAAGGCCCGGCTTATCTACTCCTTTTCTTATATTGTTTCATTCACCAAGATGCAAATTTCCCTCCTCTTTCTGGCAACAATCTACAAAACTATGAAGTTCAAACTTCAGATCCATGGTTAGGGTTAGCTCAATCCTGTCCCCATAGTGCTCCAACAGTGCCCACTAAGATAGCAGTATACTTGCTGACACTTATCACACAAATTTCTGATTCTTTAGAACAATCTGGCTTTTTTTTTTTGAAGTCTGACCTGGAACTGTCTATATTTAGGAGTCTAAAGAAGAACAAACATGTAGCCTGAATAGTGACAAATTAGCCATCTAACTCATACTTTACCTCAACTCAAAAGACACAAAGCAAACACTAGTCACATAAGATACCTTCTGGAGATCGCTCATCATCAAAAATAATTGACTGAAGGCAAGCCAAGTCAGGGAACTCCTTGGGATCTATTTCTGATGGTGCTTTCTTCATAAATAGGGGGATCTTGTCAAACTCCTATATTTCAAAGGAATAAAGCACATAATTAGCATTGTGTACTGAATTCGATCCAATCCCAGGACTCAACGTCAAAGTCTTTTTCTCTGATCAAGATCTGCAACTCCTCATAATTGGTTGGATCTATACAGGCTCTAGTTTCTGTGGTGGCAAACTGGACTTCTGAGTTCTCAACTCTCCAAGGGTGGTCTTAATCACCCTCAACTGAGCTCTCTCACGTTCCTGACCTTTCTCCGTCTCCTTTCATCTTTGCCCTAACCTTAAGTGGCAGGGTGCTGCGCGTAAAGCAACTTTACACGTGAGGAACCAGCTCAGAGAACTCAGGAAGCCGATCCACCAGAACCTGGAGGTGGTAGGTCACAAGGCTGACTGCCAAACCCTGTGGTCTTAACTGAGCTGACAACTCAAGACCCTCAGTACGCCGAGGCATAAGGCTTCTGGCACTCAACTGGAAGTCACTCGTCCTTTGGCGGCGATCAAGGCACGAGGACCACGCTCCTACCCCAGCGGGGCTCCCAGGACAGCCCACCTCCTCCCACTGGTCCTCCCGGAAGCCGCCGCGATAAGGTTGGCTCTGGAACTTATCCAGGAATGCGTCCATGGAAGTATCATCCGCAGAGTCAGCCTCAGAACTCTCCATTGCAGCTCGCGACTCCAGCGCTTGAATCCGGGGGAACCAAGAAGCGTACTGCTCCTTCCGGCAGCGCGGGTGTTCTTCCCTCTAATGTCCGGGCTGTGTGTGGCCTTGCCTCTTGGGTTCCGCTGGCCTGGGGGCGTGGCCTGACAGGGAGCCTAGCCTCCACCGCACCCATCCATGAGCAGAGCTTACCTAGCCTCCAGTTTCCTGGCTTCTGGTAGTAGTTTGGTAAACTCCCTTTTGTATCTGAACCCTCCACATCCTCTCCAACCCTGATGTTTTTGTCTTCTCTATAAATGTTCTCAAACGGTGAATTCTTAGCCAAGCCTGATGACATTTTTCTGTAATCCTAGCACTTAGGTGGTTTAGTAGGAGAATCACAAGTTCAAGACCAGGCTAGACTACATAGCAAGACCCAGTCTCAAAAAAAACAAAATTTTTGTGCACACAGATTTTAGCACACTTTTTTTCACTCAACACAAGGCTTGAGGCCCCCATGGAGCTAAGTACATCCCTACCTTGTAACTACACATGACTCCATGGGGGCTTATCCCCTGCAAGGTTACCCAGCCTGACTCCTCACCTCACCGATAATCCTACAGCAGACATCTTCATGCATGTCCCTATGGGCCTGTGGGAAGATTACCCCAAGATGTATGCCTACAGGTAGAATCCTTGGGTCGTGATTATTCCTAAGCTCACCATTACTGACTAGTGACAGATTCTTGTTCAGAATAGCCCCATCAATCTACTGCTGCACCAGCAGTGCCCAGGGTTCCTACAGCCCATGAGAGTTTTCTAGGGGACATCTCCCTTCTTAGCATGCCTCCATGCCTCCCCCTGCCCTCTGGATGAAGTCTATCTCCTTGCACAGCCTCCATGGCTTTAGGCCTGGCCCTTGTACCGCTCCTCTTTTTCTAGGTTGCATACCGCTTTGAAGATGGTCTTTGGTCTTTGGTCCCGTGTACCCTGCTCTCCACCCATAGGTGCCCAAATGTGACCATGTTTCCAAACTTCTTTGAGAAGTCTCTTCTCTGGCATCTTAGACCCCAGGTGACACACACAACCTCTGGATGCCTTGATCTCCATGCCTCCCTGCTGAGCTCAACCTTAGAACTTTTGACCATTTAGATGTGGAGGCTGTCCTGCAACTGGAAGGCACTTAATAGTGTGCCCCGTCACCTGGTCACTACCTACCAGAGGTTAGTAGCATTGACACCTTCAGGTGGCAACAACAAAAATGTCTTCAGATATTTTTGCATTAGTGGTGGGAAATTATTGGACAAAGACCCAAGGGTGAGACTCAGAGACCAGGGTTCCTGAATATGCATGATGTCATAAGTGGGAGAGTCTTTTCTTCCTCTTTCCTTTTCCACAAGGGCCACTTAAACCATCACCCCTTTTGCTCTTATTACTGGAGAAGAGGAAACTGAAATGTCCAGGGACCTAAGCCACTTCACCTCTCTGTGCCTCGGTAGCCCATTATACGAAGTGAACAAAACAGACTGCACACATCCATAAATGTCAACTAAATCAACAAATGAAGGCCATGCTCTTTTCACAGACTTTGTCAGAGTGATGGCTACACGGGGACCCGGGGTATCTCTCATGAGGAAGCCATCTGGATGGAGAGGTTGACCATATATTATTTACAGTGATCTGACTGGGGGCTTTGACATGTCACTGCTTCAAAGACATCTTCCAGGAGCTCAGCGCCTGCATGATCCAGGAGCGCCGCTGGTGGGAAGTGGGCAGGTTCTCACAGCTGGGGCTCCAGCGGTGTGTACTGGATGGGTCACACACCCATGAATCCCCATGTGGGATCGGCCAAGAGTTCCTCCAGCAACTGGCCATAATGTGGTCCTGGGCCTGGGCTGCGTAGATACACACTGATGCTTCTGAATCGTGTCTCAACATCTCCAGAGCTGGGTTGGAGAAAGGGAAAGGCCACTTGTTTAGACAAGATCCCTCCCTCGGTAGAGCTCCATCTTTCCTCCCCATCTCCTAGCCTTGGCATAGACAACCCTCTATGAAGCACCTTCCCAGTCTTCAGATTGCAGCATCTTTCAAAGCTTGTATGAAAATGCTGCCCCAACCTCACTTCAATCTCCTATCAGTCCTCTAAGTTGCAAGATGAACCCATGTGCCCCCTTAAGCAACTAAACCACCCACCTTGCGCTAAATGTTTTTTGTTTGTTTGTTTGTTTTTGTTTTTGTTTCCTTGAGACAGGGTTTCTCTGTGTAGCCCTAGCTGTCCTGGAACTAGCTCTTGTAGACCAGGCTGTCCTTGAACTCACAGAAATCCACCTGCCTCTGCCTCCCGAGTACTGGGATTAAAGGCGTGCGTCACCACCGCCCAACTTGCACTAAATGGTTTTGGGTCTTGTTTTTGAGCCTCATTGTCTTAATGAAGTTACAAACTCCACAGGATGCTGTGCATTCTGCCTCTGGGTGACCCCACAGTAGCTAACATTGCACTCACTACAGATAAAGCTTTAACACTGCAGGATTGAACTGAAGACTCTTGTCCTGACCCACACTGTCCTCTTTTCCTGTCACCCACTGTGATTCTGCTCATGGCCTCATTCCCTCAGCAATCTCACCAACCCAGGCTGTGACTTACTGGCTTTCACTTCATTCAGCCGCTCTTCATTCATTATGTTCTCCATGCAGGGGACCAGGGACCCTGGATAATCCAAGAGGTGAAGTTGTCCACCTTGATACCTGCTCCTCCCACTCTTAGACCAGATGGCCCCAGAAAATCTGCCTGCCCTCTTCCAGCCCCATAGAGGGCATGAAAGGGGGGCTTCATTATGACCCAGGGCAGATTCTCAACAGGAGTCCCAGGGAGGTGTTGGACCAATGGGCAGGATCAAACCAGACAGCGCAGGATCCTGGATGCAGGCAATTGACAGTGCCACCCTAGGCTGGGCCTCAGCTTCCTTATCTGTGACATGGAAAAGTACTGCCTCCCTGCCCAATTTCCCCAGAGAATCTGAGCCTCTAATCTCATACACCTGTCAGCTGCAGCTGCAAGGGACCTCTGAGGTGTCCTTGCTCCATGTACCTGATTCCCATCATGTCTGGGTCCTGGTTATACTCCACCCTTCCCAAAGACCCTTCCCCTCATGTGTTTTCCTGGGGAGTTCCTGTTTGTCCTTGTATGTTAACTTCAGAGAATGGCTCTCCATGAAGTCCTTCCTGACCCTGAACCTGACCCAGGCTGAACCTGGTGCCTGCCTAGTGTCTCAGCATCTCAGTGAGTTTCCTGTCAGTATACACTGGGTCTGTATACACTGGGCCTGTAAGCACTAGGTCTGTATGTTCTGGGCCTGTATACACTGAGCCGCTATACATTGGTTTATAAACGCTGGGTCTGTATATCCTGGGTCTGTATACACCAGGTCTGTATACACTGAGCCTGTAAACACTGTGTCTGTATACACTGGCTCTGTATATACTGGTTTTACTCTTCTTGTGATTTATAAATCATATTTATTTGTTGGGAGGATTAAGGATTTAACTCAGGGTCTGATGCCTGCCATGAATGTGTTCCACCACTAAGCTACATCTCCAGGCCCTGATTTATGAATCTTTATCTCCCACAAGACTATAAATTTCTTAATCTGATATCCATTTGGAGGGTGGAGTGGGAGGGAAAGTTTCTGAGGATCCTAAATTAATATGCAAATTTTATGCATATATGCATTTTCTAGACAAAGTGTTCATAATTGCCTTCCAAGTGTCACAAGAGGTCTATGTCCCAAAAGTGGTAAGAAGGTCTTCATTGTTCCAGAAGCTGGGTGTCGGCAGAAGTGGGCTGTGCTCAACATTATTGCCTAGGCACAGGCCTTGGCATTAGGTGTTAAACATTAACATTTTTAGAAGTAATTGGCTTGGAGCAAGATTGAAAGAAACAAGCATGTGAGGAGCTGCCTCTATGTAGCATCTTAGTTCAGATGTATGCCATGTGTCCTAGGCCTCACTCTTCTGTCCCAGCACTGGTCATGGTAGTAGTCCCCTCACCCCACACTCACATCTCACCCTCCCCTCTCACTCCCACCCACCCCATCAGCTCTCTGTTTCTCTAACCTAATCAGCATGCCAGATAAAGAACAGGGAACAGCCGGGCGTTGTTGGCACATGCCTTTAATCCCAGCAGAGGCAGGCGGATCTCTGTGAGTTCGAGGCCAGCCTGGTCTCCAGAGCAAGTGCCAGGATAGGCTCTAAAGCTACATAGAGAAACCCTGTCTCAAAAAAAAACAAAAAAAAGAGCAGGGAATCCTTTACTAATAAACCAATGAAGGGATGGTAGGAACATGGATGGATGAGATGTACAAATGGATAGATCAATTGATTAGTGGATGGGTGGGTGGATGAGTAGATGGATGGGTAGATAGGTAGGTGGCTGGGTTGATGGATGAATAAGATGGATAGATGGGAGGATGACAGACAGATGAGTGGATGGGTAGATAAAAGGATGGAAGAGTAGAATATATATATATATATATATGTGTGTGTGTGTGTGTGTGTGTGTGTGTGTGTGTACATATATATCATATATGATGAGTGAGTAGACAGGTAGATGGATTAGTGGATGGATGGATGGATGGATGGATGGATGGACTGATGGATGGATTGGGTATGAGAAAGTAAATGAATTGAAACATACACTATAAAGAAGTACCATTTTACAGAGGTCATCACCTCGAAGCCTCTCTGCAGTGAGGTCTCCTGACCCTGGTGAAGGAACTATGATTATCTGGGCAGAGGAGAACAGAATTATAATATAGCAAATGTAGTATACTGGGGTAGGAGAGGCAGCCCCAGATGCCATTAGAAGGGTCTTAAGAAGAATCCTGAGCAAAGAGAATCTGTAATTGATCTTCCCCCCAGAGATTGGGATTCTGGGATACTCAGACTGGAACTCAGGCAGAGGCTTGGCAGTGGGACTTATTATTCCAGAACAGGTTACCTATGAAGATGACAGAGGCCTTCCGGAGGGATGCCCGTGGATTCTTGGCAAACTCCAGGCTCTGGCTGAGGAAAGTGGAGACGCTGTCTCGGTGAGAAT